AAGTCAAATGAGAAAAACACCTCAATATTTTGATACGGAAAATCGAAAGGATCTTACTGTTCGAACATGTCGGAACGTAGCTCGTCATTCGTCTGTCGAGTAGCATAGAAGTTTCAAAATAAAAACCATACAGTGATCCTTAGTCCTCCACTGCAGGCACGGGGAAAGAAAAGGCCCGCTGTAGTCCAGTACATGTCATAAAGGGCGATACATGTAGAGGCCCCCTGCAGAATTGGGGATTTCTTGTGTGCCTTCTGCTTCGTAGACATTGAAATGATCTGCATCCACCATTGTAGCATTTTGAATCTTATTGTTATTTTCTACTTCCTTTTTGTTTCCGTGTGCCTTCCTTGGCAATATCTCACTTTTAACCTTCGTGTTGAGCTTTAGCCAAAATGGATTCTTGAACATATAAGGTTATCGAAAAACTGGTTTATCCGTTGTCAGTATAATGTATCGGTTTTAATTACTGTGATGGTTGCCGTCGGCATGATATTTCAGTGAGGTATCACTCTGTAGTCGACATCAGATCCGCGCTATCGCAAGGTGGCAAATACATTAGCATAACCTGCTTCAAGCACACATACACACAAGCACACATACACACAAGCACATACACACAAGCACACATACTTTAAACACATGGAGACGTTAAAAAAATAAAACCAAACTAAAACCAAAACATCGTTCATTACTATTGCACCCGCGCAATGTGATCATTGTCATTGTAAGGGTCATGTAAAGTGTCTTATCGGTATTTTTCATATCCTTGTCACCTTATATATAGTATGTCAACATTAACCAAGTTTCTGCGCCTTTGAATACAATTCCTGTGACGACAACATCCAGAGTGTTTCTTGACCGAGCCGAATAGCCAGGTATGCTTGGTCGAGAGGCCAGAAACTTTTCGGACGAAAACTGTTAAAGGATTAACAGCATTCCCCATAACGACAACAAGTTAGTTGATTTTTCTACAGGAAAAACACGAAACCAATATAGCGTAATGCTGTAAATAGCAGAATGATTGTCAAAAGTACTGTGCACTGTTGAATCATGAATCGCGTCTCAGTATCCTTGTGTCAATCGTTTAGATTTAGAAATTGCACGTGACATAAACAGTTAATTATCTTTCTTCGTAATAATTTCTTTGGAAGATGAACATATTTAAGTAAAATTTAATTATAATCATAAAGCTGAAAATTTGAATAAGTCTTTATTTTCTTGCTTAAAGTATGATTAAATGCGTATTTTCAGTACATTATATGCGGAATTATGATTACTTGAGCTCTTGTCGTACGTTGTATTTAAACATCTGAAGGAGTTTTCTATTTTTTAAGTAAATATAATTCATTTTCGATGCATACAAAACAGCTGCTATAAAGTCGTTTACAGTGCAATACTATAGAATTAGGCAAAGGTCGAGGTTTTCAAAAACGACTATTTGCTTCTGAGCAGCTGTTTAGATATAAACGACTGGTATAAAAATAAAAATAAATCACTTGTTTTCAAATCAATTTGTGTATGACTAATTGTTTATATATCTATATTTGAAATATATTCATTTTTTATATCATATATTGCCTTTCATAAACATGGCCACTGCTGTGTTACGCTGTATTTATCATGTCCTCCTCCAACGTACTGTAAACTTATGTGTCATCCATTGCTCAAAGGCTAATGAGGTGCTTTATCTCTCCTAATTACCTTCGACGATTCCAGACAAACATCAATCATCACAGAATGAGCACTGGCCCTAGCATGTTGTCCCCACGGCCTGATCGAGACAGGGCCTGACGTATTGCTGTTTATCTTACACTTATCAACTTCCGTGGTGAAATATCGGAAGGAGGTGGTAAAACAATTACGTTATTCTAAAAACTGTCTTTGTTCTCTTAAATATGTATTCATAGAGTATAACAATATATACTGCCCAAAGATGATCATAGGCAACAACAATACATAGTGTCGTTATATCACCGTGGCGTGGAGTTGGCATAGGTTTTATTACATCTCGGTTAAGGGGGTAAGCCAAGTCCGTATTCGGTACTCTTGTTTACGATCGTTTTCACTCATAAAGTAAAACGTTTGCCTTTCTTCAGTTATACCTCCATGAAACATTCCTGCTAGGTTAAACATACATGTATGTGACAATGCAAGCTAACTAGACCGTCGAGCAAGTTTTGCAAATAAACTGGCGACACAAACGTGTCAGTGACAGAAGTACTATCCCGGACGTCGATCACGTAGGAAGCAGACCCAGAAATGGGCCCTAATGAATACAAATGTAAGGCGACCGGCCATTCCTTACACTTTATGGTACATTACGTAGGATATATGTCCTTAAAGTGACAGAATTCTGATTCAATTTGGTGTTCTATTGCAAATAGAAAACCGCAGCTCAGTACAACATCCCATTTTTGTCCCAAATTATGACAAACGATCAAACCTTATTTTTGTCCCAATATTATGGCAATTTATCAAACCTTATTAGAGCTTAGACAGAATATTTACTCCATTTGAGTTCAACAGACACGTATATGTGTTACAGCTTGTTACAATGCACTTGACCAACAGGTACAACAAGTGAAGTGATACTTTAAGGTCTCATACTTATACTTTATACTTTCCGTTAGTGCATGAAGACGCTTTTTATTTAGATCAATCATAAACATCACGAAGAAAACCTTAACTGAAAAATATACATCATATTTATTCCTTGATTAAATTTTCCGTTGACAGATATATGAAATATTTAAATTCCTGATCTGTGAATAGATATTACATCGACGACAATAAGGGGAAAAGACCTATGGTTATTGGGCAAGTCCGCAGAAAAGAAAACACAACCTACCAAAGACAGTGGAAATGGGTTCGCAGGGGGCATGGAAGTCGACGGAGCGGAAATAAACATGGACAGACATGCGGTGCTATAAACCATTGAGATCATGTCCCTATTGCGGTCGATAAACGACATCACCAGCGAACATTCATCAGGGGGACTAGTTAAGGAGACTAAGTAGGGATGTATTTTACCTTCTGCTTATATTAGTCGACGAGTTATAATTTATGTCAATTTTCTCTTATATAATGTAACTATGTTGTATTTCTCTGTGTAGATGTCTTGATTTGACAACCTAAGATGTTGACACTGTGGTTATTATGTCCTTGGCCAACATACGAGGGCCATTAAATCAATTATGTCCCCACACAGCTTCTAAACTAACGGGCATAGCGCCTTGGCACACTGCAAAAGCATTTGAAAATCAATGCAGGTGCAAAATAATGACATAATCCGACAAGAATTCACCAAGTCATTGTTGTCTCATGACAATGCTTCATCCAACAAAAGCAACAGCTAGGTACATATATTGTACATGCCAACCCTCCGGTGTCTAGCCAGTATACCAAGGGGAGATTATCACGCAGATTTAGGGTCACCACTGCGAAAGTGCTTTTCTGCAAGGGGGGAGGGGGGTGTATTCTTCGAATGTTTGTAATAGAAAGAAAACGATATACACCATGCATGTTATTTCTGAGACTAGAGGCAGTATTGATTGAACGACTCTTGTACTCATTTTTAAATTCGTATCGTGTCCAACAAATCTTCGTAAGAATTCAATATTTACCAAAATGTTATCAATAAAAGTAATCGAAAAGGAAAAGGAAACATCTAAAAGCCAAAAACAAAAACAAAGGCAAAAACAGTGGTTACCTAGGAAACATATTTCTTGAACTAAATGTAGCACTCATCCGGGGGTCGCCAACCAACTCGAGGAATGTAAGGCGGACAACAAAGGTCTAGTCTTATGATTCTATTGTGATTTAGTATTATAGATTATTCCACTGGGTTTTGGGGGTCTGTCGTGAGAATAAACCCGGAAAAAAATGTTATGAAATGATTATCATCTATATGCTACCAGTCAGCTAAATACAAAATCTCCCAACTGACGTGTTGGCATAGTGAACATCGGCATCATCGGTCTGCTACAAGCGTAAACAAATAGAAGATGTATCAAGAAGAATACAATGAAGCTTACAAATATGCAAAAAGGATCTTTTTAAACAGTAGTATTGTCATTGGCCTCCCTTTATGCACATTTCCGTAATCAGATAATGGTTTGTTAACGACGGACTATTTTCTTACGTAGAACACATTTGTGTGGATGTTTTTTCCGTTTCAGGACGTCACCTTGCTCGAGCAGACGTTCTTTATGACAAAATGCATTCTGAAATGAGAAAACCTTTCTCAGATCACTACGAAGTCGTTCTCGATCCGAGAGTAAGATTTTGGAATAATCTAATTTTGAATTTGAATTTTATTGATACACTTAAATGTGGTTAAAAAGAATGTGTTTATTACGCTGACATATAACAATGACATATGCTGATTAAACTGATTAGAATGACCTACTACATGCTAACAAACTAGCAAGGAATGACGAGGAAACTGATAACAACGACCCCATTATTGTCACTAATTCCATATGGTCCCGTAAGGAACAGTTTTTTTGGGTTTTTTTACTGTTTTGTTTATTTTTTGGTGATAAAGAAGAAATACCCAAATAGTCAAAATTGTAAACAAGATGGAAATACATAACAAAAGTCATCTCGTTCTGGACCTCTATCAAAATCGTGACTAATTTCATGTTGGCTGTCTTTATCTTTCTCAGTAACACAATGCTAGCCTCCCCGGCTCATGGGATTTACATGTGACATTTGATAAGTTACTTTAGGCTTGTTCTGATTTTGGATAGATACCACTTTCTATCAGTGAAGTCCCTCTCATCCTCTTGTTTCACGTGCTGTCCTTTTGCGGGGGTTATTAAGTCCTTCCTTTTATTTTGGGGGTTATAAAGTACTTCCTTTTGCGTGGGTTATAAAGTCCTTCCTTTTGTATTGGTGCCTCCTCAGTTTTTGAGTTTTTAACTCTGCATAGGAACTATAAGATTATGTTTTAAATGTCAAAAATAAAACTAAACTGTTTTTGAGAAACACTTTATTCCGATTATTCACAAAAATATTCATAAGCTTATAATATACAATAATATAATGTTAGTCAAATATTGGGTTTGTTGTATATCGCATTCTAAACATTATATTACACCGTGCAAAAGTCGCACTTTTCTAATAATCAACACGTGAATCAAGTCACTGTTTATATAACACAGTACACAAAACAGGAAATCAGTCATAATAAAATATATATCATAAAAGTACGTAAACGGTGGTATCTACCATGTCATATTACATAACACGTTCTCAATAAAAGTGATGATTGGGAAGAATACAATATCTAGTGAGCACGTAAATTGACATGTTCGTTCTATATTGACAGTAATATGTATTCGGCAGTGCTGCGACTTATATAATTATGTTTGCCGTAGTTTACCTCCGCCTTGCGACTTCCGTGATGATGAGGGCAAATTGATAAGTACAGCGACTACATGTGAATGTCAAAACACTCGGTGAGTATGGACCTCCCAATGTACCAGTGAAGGGCGAAATATTTCCTAGTAAACGTACGATTATTTAAGATTTAAAAGAAAATGAACATGGTGTATGATATTATCTTTTATGAATCGTGGATATCAAAGCCATACTGTATCCTAAACATACCATCATATTTCCATTACATGATTGTTTCTTAGATTTATTTAATTAATATTTTTCTGCAAATATCGCTGTTTTATCGTGAGGCAGATATACATTAACACTTGAGATATGTGAATTAGTCGCTAGCTTTATCTATGATTTATGAAATAAAAGAAGCTTCCTTATTCATACTTGGTCGGGCAGATGATCTAATGCATTTCCACAGATGTCTTTCACCGAGACGAAGGCGTTATATGCTCCTATCGGACGTAACATGGTATTGGACCGTATGTCCTACCGCGTGGGGTTTCTCAGGGTACTGCGTTTACCTTCCACATTAAGACTCTTTGTTAGCTACCATCTGGGCCAACAGGAGTCATAAATATAAATTGATTAAACTTGTTTTCTAATAGTTGTACATTAACTTAAGTTTATTATTAAAAGCTTACTAGGCTTCAATTGTATTAAAATGAAATAACCCTGAAACGAACGGGAAGCTGAAATATTTACAAATGTTTACAAACCAAAAGGTAGGATAAATGAAAGGAATGTTACCATTATAAAATAAGATGTAGAAGTATATTGGTCCATATATAGTTTACAATATGTAAGGATAAAAATTCATTTTTTGAAAACTAATGAAAATATTCACACATATTAACTCTATTCTCCACACTGCTCTAAATTTGAAATGTTTTATTCCAAATGGTGGAACATCCATTATTGCGGGAGCAATATCTTGTTTTCAACAGTTACAGTACCAGCAGCTCAATCAGAAATCGTCAATCGGAAACAAATTTAAACGATTTCGCCATAATTTAACTTTGACGTCACGTCATGATTGGTCCCGGATAACATCAACAATATGACGGAAATACCCGAAGCTTTTCCAATACCCCTATAAGGTAAATGTTCTGATTTTATCAATAAAGGTTATCGAATTATTATATGTATTCAAACAAAGACAAAATCAAATCATCAGAAAACTGAAAAACAATCAACCTAAAATGTCAATGAAAGAGCTGCTTCTTGATTCATTACCACATATATTCCCAACTTATTGTATTTCTCGTAGATGTTTGCAAAATATTAATCTTTTCGTAGTTTATAACTCTGAGAAATAATTTTGAATCACTACCTTACACAGAAATTATCTATGTTCTGTAATTGAGTTTTCTCCCTGAGGAATATATCGTATTATTATAATGTTCCTTTGATTTATGTAAGAATTCAGGATGTATGCTTCATTAAGTTAACATAGTATGGCTATCATTATATGTGAATGTTACTCTATGGAATATTAACTTCATTTGTTATTCTAAGAAATAAAGATTTCATCTCTCTTTTACTCTGTGAAATGTAACCTTTCTTTACTTCTCCGTAAACTTTTCATTGTATCCCTCTGTGAAATGCATTTTCCATCTTTCTGCTACACAACAAATGCAGAGTCATTCCTTTCTTACTCCGTATAATTTCCATACTGATGGTATTCTCAAACATGTACATTTTATCTGTTTTTTGGACATATATATATATTTCATGTATAAATTCCTGAAAGAAATATACTACCCGTTGTCGAATTACATTATGAAAAGAATATTTCATCTCTCTTTAAAATCTACGTTCCACCCTTATTTTACTTATACATGTGTATATATCTAAACATATACTGGTGACATCACGCTGGACAATGAAACTGTGTGCGCTTTTGAATGAGACACTTCACGCAATTATAGCGTTTTCTGGTTATATATGGTAAGATTATTTTCACTATTCTATGAAAAATGCATTCATTCTTTTTCCACTTATTCATTAAACTGTATAGTGATTTTCTCTATTTCTTATTAAATGAACAAAAAATCCTAATGTTAACGCGTCCATAGTACACGATACTCCCTATACTCTATGAAATGTTACATTTGATGCCTCTGTTACCCTGTAAAACAGATGTACCCTTTACGTACTGAATACATTACCGATACACACTTGTCAGGACAAGCTTTCACTTGGTTCTATTGTCCGATTGACATATAAATACGGTAACGACGCAAGGACTACACGGCCCTGGGATCACCATCTTATACACAGTGTCTGTGGCAGTTATCACGGTAACGACGTAAGGACTTCAAACCCCTGGGATCACCATCTTATACCAATGTCTGTGGCAGTTATCATAAAGGAACCAAGACATTCAGGGATTATTGATTTACAGCGAAGAAAATAATATTGCATTATTCATTCTCAATAGGATATATATATATATCGAATTTTACTAAAAATCCCTTACTTTTCCTCTGATTTTATATTCGTAATTTAAGTAACAAAACATATCGCTGAGAGTTCCAACTGTCTTTCTTGCAAGTTGACACTGTCATTATTTTTCTATTGTAGTATGAAATCAGAAATAAAACACGTACCGAGTTCAGCTAATAATGTTAATGATCTATAAAGATAACGAATAATGATAAGGTCCGGTCCGAATCCCGGACACGCAATTTCCTCTTCCATTTTGAAATTCAATATACATTGGCAATGTTCTGAGACGCTCCCCATATATCGTCTGGGACTGGAAGGGTCATCCTCCTACGATGTGCAAGACATTGGGTCACGTTATTTGTCCGGCCTCTTGCCAGTCACGGAACCTTTCATCCGGTTCGTTAATCAAATATACGTTGTCAGTGAAGTAATATCCTGACTTCCGGTAGAGTGAGTAGCAAATCACGGAGGTGACCTATTCGTCTTGATAAATTTACCTATATATAACTTCTCCTTATGTCACGGTGAGCGTATCTATTAAACCCCTCACCAAAAGACACATCGTTTTTCCAGGATGGAAAAGCATTATTATTGATATTTTCTATAGTAAAATCACTCAGTGCTTGATTAAACAATTTATCTGTAAAGTTTAACTGTATCCATGTTGTGACTGTTCCTTTGAAACCTTTCCTGAATCTTCTAAGAAGCACATTATATGAATAAACAACTACATATAGAAACATAAGCTCGACGTCTCCACGGCCAGTTAGAATTATCGGGTAGATGTCACTCGTATGTGATTTCCTTTCTCACTTCCGGTAGAATACCGTGGTGACGTAATCCATCCGGGCTGTTTCATCGTCACGGTATTCATGGTGAATCTTTCTGTACGAGGAATAGAACTCCTATTACGTGCGGATGACGTCGTACCCGGTGGAACAAGTGACGAGCTTTGCCGACGACGACACCGACAACAAGTCAAGGTCATTCGGAACTCCTTCCGGAACTTGGCTGAAATTATAACAAAATGGGTCAGTATAAAAAGCTGGAATAAAATATATTTTACAAAGACAAAAACTCCTTGTAAGAATTTAAGTGTTTATCTTAGTGATTAAAATTAGAAAGTTAAATGGCATATCAACACGTACAGTATACATGTATGTTACATAGCAACATGCGTCAAAATAGTCACCAAGAAAATAGAGATGATCTCTGAGAAACAGAACACGTCACCTGAAACTTTTGTAAATTATTGTATATTTTATAACTATTTGACCCAAAAGTACGACGAGTCGTTGACTCAACTTTGTGATAAAGTATAAATAAAACCTATTATTATGTTTATCATGAACAGAACAGATTTAATGGATAAAGAAAAGATCACGTGGCACTGGACGAATTTCGGTAGAATAACAAATAGACATTGGGAGCGGCATCTCCACTTTGTTAGGTTTGTTGATTTCTCAGAGAGAAACACCGTTTGTTCTGAAGACAGGATCGAAAATTATAGATTTATTTAGATGTATTTGTTGAACAGCTCTGTATAAATGTCAATAACATATATTAATTTCATGACAAAATATGTCAAGTAAACAACTGACGATCTCATATGCATCGCAAACATTTGACCAGTTACAAATAAAACAATAAACAGAGGATTTTTTCTGTACTCCAAATAATCTCGAACACGTTATCGGAAACAAAACGCTTTAGGTTATGCGAAAAGTAGCCAAATGTATGAAGAGTATTTTTTTATTTTATTTTTGAAAACAAATATTTTTAGAACAAGAATCGTGTAGGCAACCCTCATGTAGCCCATTTTCCCATTATTATTGTTATCCGGGAATTGTAAAGAGCTTGATAAAAACAACCAATTTACATATGTTTTATCACAATGATAACCACCCAATGGAAACACATTGTCAGAAATACGACCACATTTAAAAGTGCATTATTAAACGTCTAGTTAATCCGATGAAACTTAGAACGGCTGGGTTGTTGATCAAATCAATACAAAGACCTCGCCATGATGATGACAGTGTAAACAAAGGTATTGTTTAGGGGAAACGTCTGGGCCTGGCGTTGATAGCATTTTAATACAGAGATGTGACAATGCATATTCTGCAGTTCGTTCAATGTTTAGATTAATGTGAATTGCGTCCATCATTCGTATTTATCGCCGCTCTCTAATGTTGAACCAGTAATCGGGAGAATACATGGGATTTCGTCTGATTACACGTTGATTGCTATGTTTACATCAGAAAGCAGCAAAATTTGCATTTGTGGAACATGACCTATTGATTCGGAATGCAGTAGGGTTTGTTTGTCATGTTTTGTTTTCTATACTTTTTTGTATTTTTATCATATTGATCAATACGGTTTATTTTAGACAAGATAACAACCTTTCGATTAGAGATTTTTTTACAAATAGCATGAAAGATATATTGTCAGATAAACATGAACGGTGATTTTTTTTCTGGACAAAATTATGAAATGGTTAAAAGTTGTCTAAACCCTCGATATTATTTTTGATCAAATTCATTCCTTATATTTATTGAAAATTGTCTTTTTATAAGTCTAGCGGAAATTCACTTTGCAAATACGGGATCGATCAACGGGTTTTGGAATGCGTGGGGATACCAATGTTTCGATCCAGGTATTTTTTCGGCTTTAATTGGTTTCCATTTGATACATGTATGTGGTTTTCAATAACTTTACATTATTTTTACCGTTTGAGCTGTCAGAATCTGCAATGGGTTGCAATTCGTCAATTTATTTATTTTTTATAAACAATCCGGACATCATTTTATCAATTAACAGCAATTACTCGTTTTGGTCCACATGACAGCACACAGATCTCGATGTGGGAGTCAACCGGACTACCCGGGATGACAGGTGACCGCAAAGCCTTATCGCATCCGATCTGGGAATTAATTCAGTTCGTCTTGTAGCTAGGCGAAAGCGCTATCGACTTATTTTAATAATGTTCGACAAAGGAAGATATCTTTATCGAAATCACATTATTTGCAATAAAAAAGATTTTAAAATATTGCCGACAGATTAAGTTAGGCATTTTTTTAGGTTCATGGTTTTCCACCACGCAAATCTTCTATACACTTACGTTTGATCTGTTCATTTTAGGCTAGAAGCCATTTGGAGGAAAAGGTATTTAGTTGGATTTTTATGAATAGAGAAATAGACTGTTTTTCACACAATATGTTCAGGGTTCGTCATTCGAACAATTTTCTCACCGCTCGCTTGTGAGGCCATCCCTAAAAACACAGTGTGAGAGTTGATAAATATTTTTATATATCGCTTGTTCTTCTGTGTGGGTGGTATGGTATCATTAGCCGCACCTTTACGAACATTTGGCAACCTAAAAAAAACGTTTGCCATCTTTTTCTGCCGATACCCTTATCTGCAAGTTTATTTGTACAAAACACGCTACGTTGCATGAGGCAGTAAATATATTAGAAATGCAATGATATTATTTTATAACATATTTGTGGATATTAGCTATCAAATCATGGAAGCTACCAATGAAATTTAAAACACAGAATAGAGTTTTTCGTACATGTATCGTTGAACAGATTTGTCGTTACTGAAAGTATGGCAAGCTTGTTAAACTTTTAAAGTGACGAACAAACAAAACGAGTATGTCAACAACTGTAAGACATTATATATAAATGAAAGTACGAACAGGTGAACACAGATGAGTCATTTAATTGCGGTCAAACTTCATACACCTGCTGGTCACTCAGGCAGCATAATGTTGATTTTCAACCTTATAACACGCCAAATTGACAAAGAATTCTTATCGTGAATCTGTTTTTACAAATGGACCCCCACGAGAGATGTATAATCTGTCTATTTTCACCGGTTGTTACATGGACGTGCTTAGATAACACTCAGACTTTGTAAACAATGTGACGTCATTGAAATGTGTGCATTTCAACAAGAATATTTTAATGAATACACTTATGAGCAGCGGACTGGAGCGGACAGCGTTAGAAATTCAATTTAGGGAGCAGTTTGACACCCTTATTGAGGACAAATGGGAACGAAAATGAATCATCATTCAGGCATATTCCATTTCGGCCAATAGAATGTCTAACATATTTATCTGTAATTTAAATTATTATCACACAAATTGCGATTGGGTGTCTACATTATTACACCTTTCATATCGTAAAGGAAGATAGAGGCAGGTGCAGTTGTCATTATTCTGATTTTTATGAAACGAAAGATTGGTCTCAGAGGAACACCAAACACAAAACCGTGCACGATCAGACGGCGATAAAATGAGTAATGCTACCAGCAACAGACAACAAGGAATTCCAGGAATAGCTATAGTCTGTACAGAAGGGTAAACAGGGTAAGCATTTGTAACTACGCAATTTGTGAAAGCAGCAGACTTTTTGTTGCCCCTACCCATGCATTTAGTTTGTACAAAGCATTGTATGGGAATCTCCATATCTCCTTTTTTTATAGTGTGTAAAGGGGTGAGCATTGATATTATTTACGTGTTTTTAACGCGTTTGTATATATGATTACTGCAATATAATGATAATATGGGTAAACCTATATTGTATTAGAAAACAACGGGAATTGAAAATGGGTAAACACTAGCAAAACATGGCAATTTAATTGCCAGGTAATTAACATGGATCACAGAAAACCGTTTAATTTTTTTTCCGAACAGGGCATATATCATTATAGGGAATGGAATATATTAAGACATTATAGACCATGACCATTGGTGTAACTGTTTGTTGAAAATGGTAATCTGTTTGTCTGAAAGTGATATAAGGTTCTATATTTTTTGTGCGCAACTGCAGCCTTGTATGTAACAAAATAATAATATCATAACTACAGACGTCGTTCCTTGAGTGTCTGTCTGGTCAATATAATTGATAAAACTGTTAGTGAAAACTACAAATATCCGGAATGAATAATATATATGGATATGCATGCTCACAATAAGTACGAAACTGTATATTTTTAACAGTATTCCGTAAACTTTATTCCATTGATGATATTTATTTAAAGTATAGAACTTTTTAGATACTGAAAATAATACCATTTATTTCTTAACAATGCAAATTGACATCTTGTATTCATTCTGTATTCATAAATCATATACCATTACGCGATCTCTTAATACAGATGGTCTCTTAATACTGGTTAACCTAAAATAAAAATTGCAAGATTTAAATGTAGTCTCCTCAATAAATTGGTCTCTTGAACTGGCTAAACTGTATAAGTATACCCCACCCACCCGTGCAGAATCGCGCTGGTTTCTTTCTTGTCTTCTATCAAGGGAACATTGAGGAAACCCAATAGGACTGCTGTATCCCTCTCAATCTGTATCGTTAAAAGCGACGAAGGTAGATCCCCCTGCAGTATCGGAGGTTCCCCCTGCAGTATCGGAGGTTCCCCCTGCAGTATCGGGGTTTTTCTTCCATGTCTTCCTCATATGACCCTGGCTGCTACGAGGACGTTAAACCACAAACAAAACAAACAAGCAAAGTTCATATGTTCCAATTTGATGAATATGTATTGTAACATTATGTTCTGAAAATAAATTTCAGTCCATAAACAGATAAACAAAGTAAAATTTACAAAATAATGGAAAACTAAAACAGTCTCTGACTTACATAAAGGTCAATCAATGTTGTCAATGATAATATACTTCTAAGAAAAGTTGTCCAACTTGTGTAGACCTACAGTGACGCCCTTTGCGTCACCAGGAACCTATTTAGGTTTTGTACAGATAAATAGGGTAACTAGAGAACATAAACTATAAATGACGTAATAAAAACCTACAGTTGAACTGTATTACTGTGTTTTATTCCTTTTCAAAAACGCACCAAAATAGGGTGATGTGTACTATTGATTGTTTATCTTTTTAAAATGTTCAAACATGGTTAACGGAAACGTAAACAACGATGGCGCAACAATATGTAAGGCATACAATTAGAATTAAGTCGCTTTGGTTTGCATTTTTCTTGTTGTTCAATTGACTGTGTTTACAAGTCTCATTGGGGCTTAGACGATTAAAATGCGATCTTTGCCATTCGCCACAGAGCAGTTGTTCCCTCAAACGTTAATTGTTCTATCGATTATACAATTACCATCACAAGGAATACGTTTGTTGCAGAAACTCTTTCGGTTTGTTTTTAGCTTGAATACATACCACAATGTGTATTATGCGAGGTTCAATCAATAACACAATATATTAATCAACTCATTGTCTGGTGGAAACGCAATGGTAGAACACCCAGATGTTTAAATAAATTATATAAATGCCACAGGAACCGAACCTGAATTAAGACGATTTGATTACTGTTCTAATAGATCAGGTAAGACAACAATTACTTTATTCTGAATACAATTTTTTTCATTAAATAGTACACATCATTCACCATGTTTCTTCGTGGAAAAAGACAAAACTGTTTGCGTGGGAAAAACGGAAAAAATCGTCCACGGCTAAATTATATATATATATATATATATTATCTCATTCAATGTTGCTGTCTGCATAATAAATATATAATGTCGAGAAAGTAACAATAGAAGCATATGTTTAACGGGATATTCGGCTTATTTCTGATGCTATGTGGTTTACTGTTACTGACCGAGTAATCGATGTGAGGACGAGACATTAAGATTCGGTTCAGGTGTACATGGCGGGAGTCGGCAATGAAGCAGAAGACGCTTACCTTTCCAGAAAACCTGGTCTTATTTATAAGATTCCGAACATGCGACAATAACATTGTTTTCATATATACAGTGATTTAATTTTCGGACAGCTAAGATAATGATTTATTATTGATTATCTAGTTCGTATACCTGTTCGGTTTTTTTAATCAAAATACACTGCTTAACTTTGAATATCGTGTGAATGAGCGATAAAACTAGACACGAAAGATGACAAAATTGGGAAATGTAATAACAAAAAACAATTCAATCGCCATGCTATTAAGACAAACAAATACTACGACGCACATGACGTATTAGGACGTCTGTCACAACAGATAATAGGCGGTTGACTTTGACGCAGGCTCAAATGTTCGTATTCCTTCGCATCTAGAAATTCTAAAACAGTTGTGTAACGACAAAGATTTTTTTCCTGCAATGAAAGTATGACGTGATAACAGAATTATGTAAATCTATCGCTAGCCGTTGATTACAACACACTTCCTGTGTCAGCAGGTGTTTAGACACGGATACAACATATTGATAAATAGTCGCCTTCAACGTCGACATCGAGCCCATTCGTCAGGAAACAGCATTATTGCGTCGGCGTAACATGTGTTGAGTAGAATTCTATGTTAATAATTCAATTTAAACTGTGGTATAGTTTCGTATGTTTGGTTCCTTACATTACTAAAACGACTCGGTGTTGAATTCTAGTTTATCTAACCATAACAATAGAACGCTGTTCATTATCAATGGATACCATCTATTTCTCATGTGCATTGCAATGTATTGTCACTATGCGTAATTTTGATCTGTTGTTGATCTCATGAGACACTGCTGTTTTTACATAGTATTACAACTCTTTTTAATTAATTGTCTGGGAATAAAACATGCATATCATATCAACACATTCTATTTCAGAGATTTGGGTGAAATGAGAGAAATGAGAAATTGTAGCGATCGTTTTGGATTTAAACACTGAATACAAAACTCACCGGTTCTAACTATAAATCCTTCCGTTGATATATTCAAACATTTTCATTGGTTGGATCATTGTCACGTGGACTTCGGTGATTTGTGATATTGAACTCGGTGTTACTATTTTTAGAAACAGCAGGCCAATATTCACTTTATGACGTTATTTCAATTGTAATGTCCTATACTCTCTGCCAAATGTAGTAATTTCCTCCCTATAATTTTCTTTTATTCTATATTGTTTAATGATTGAAATATTATTTAGAATTTAATATAACAATAAAGAAGGGTTTTTTCGGTTAAATGTTTGTGTATGGATCCTATAAACGAGACTGTATATAACCTCATATTCACCTCAACAAAAGTCTATAATTGATAAACAAATTCAACTTTTCATACTTTAACGGCCATAAAACTTTATCAAACTAGGTTATGTCCATTGAGGAATGACGCTGGTTGTTACGTCTACTTATTTTATTATCCCAAATGACAGCATTTTAGAAAGCGTTGCGGGGTTAAATTGTACGTTATGGGGTGCCCATCTTAACAAATGTAATTTCTAATGTCGTGTGACAGTTAACTAGGCTGCTTAATTAGACCGTCCTAAACCGTTCTCTCCGATCGATAATCCAGTTAACTATAATTGATGCCCTACGTAGCATGCTCACCATGTGTTGTACTCGGTCACATACCTACAACACTCTTAGTTTAGATAGACCATTGTCAAATTGAGATTAAATTGGTGTATCAGTAACAGTCTAGGACACTTTGAGAGCATGTCGTTTATCTAGTCTCTAAAATTGCGCAGACTTGGAAAAGCCTCCCCTCATATCCATCTGAATAGTCTACATCATCAACTGATACATCAATTTAATCTCAATTTGACAATAGACCTTATGGAGAGTTTCGAATGTGATTAAGAAAACTGGTACGTCTGATTCTAATCCTTAGGTGACTGCGTTTGGTAAAGTGTCTCCTGCTGTTTGTTCATTTTAAACTCTTTTCCTTTTCTTTTGACTTAAGTATCGTCTTAACATCTTATAAACTTCGGGTCTATTTAAAACGAGAGTGCTGTAGGTATGTGACCGATTACAACACATGGTGAGCATGCTACGTAGGGCATCAATTATAGTTAACTGAATTATCGATCGGAGAGAACGGTTAAGAACGGTCTAATTAATTTTAGATTTTCTAGATGCGTACGAATACGAACATTTGAGCTTGCGACGAAGTCAACCGCCTATTATCTGTTGTGACAGACGTCTCAATACGTCATGTGTGTCGTAGTATTTGTTTGTCTTAATAGCATGGCGATTAAATTGTTTTTTGTTATTACATTTCCCAATTTTGTCATCTTTCGTGTCTAGTTTTATCGCTCATACACACGATATTCAAAGTGAGATATAATCATTTGACAGCAGTACCGGCATTGCCAAGATGCCTTATAGAAGGAAATGGTTTGTGAGTGCGTATCTTAGCAATGCCTTATAGAAGGGCATAGAGTGTGAGTGCGTATCTTAGCAATGCCTTATAGAAGGACATAGATTGTGACTGCGTATCTAAGCACTGCCTTATAGAAGGACATAGAGTGTGACTGTGTATCTTAGCAATGCCTAACAGAAGGACATAGAGTCTGACTGTGTATCTTAGCAATGCCTAATAGAAGGACATAGAATGTGACTGCGTATCTAAGCAATGCCTAATAGAAGGACATAGAGTGTGACTGTGTATCTTAGCAATGCCTTATAGAAGGACATAGAGTGTGACTGTGTATCTTAGGAATGCCTTATTGAAGGACATAGAGTGTGACTGCGTATCTAAGCAAAGCCTAAACGATGATTCAAATATATTCTGGATTTACAACTTTTGGCCGACACAAAAAGATGATTACTGAAAGGTTTCGTATGATGTACGCCAGGCACGACGATCTCTCTCTCAAAGGCTATCAAATATGTGCTATTTTATCTGTTAATGATGAGAATCCATACAACATTCAACATAACCTTGCCTCGAGATAGCAGAATGAAAATCCGTTAATATCAAGGCACGTATAATCACATCGTATTCAGTCGGGCGTTTGTTCCCAGTATAAATCAAATCAGAATCAATTCTAAGACTTTGTTTGCTTGTAGACCCTCGGGTGTTAAGTTATGCGGTCGTCGTAAAATAAAGCATTAACTTGACTCGAAGTGTAGAGATAACTAATTTCCTTCCCATAAAGACATGCATACCAACCAGGCGTTCACCTGCCGCCAATTCTCCTCACAGGACGACAGACAGACGGACAGGCGCCATTAAGGTAATGCACAACGACCATCTGCCTTTTAAGGGAAAAACTGCAGTTTGATATGGCAAAATTAACTCTACCGAGGTGATGTCTAGAGAGTTGACGCTAAATTCTGGGTAATAAATTCCTTGCAAAAGAAATAAAACAAAGTCTCAAAGAATTGATTGGGTGCTGAAAGTTGCATGTCGGCTATAATAGATTCTCAGATCTGGTTGTCTCCGTAGGATTCAAAACAAGTTACGCATAAACATACAAACACATTTCTCTCCAGACGTCAATGATTTACTCTTTATGAATATCAACTTCTCTCAAAAGTTGCAAGAAACAATCCTTGAGTTGATAGATTTTTGCTTAGATTCTTTACAGTGATGTCATATGTCCGACATTGTTTTATATAGAACATCCGACCTTCGGCATCACCCTAAATGTTCTTTTAAGACTTTAAATACAACGTCGACATCTAGGACACTTTGTCTGAGCATTAATTTTATGTCATTCTTTGTCTGTTGACGACCTCATATTTCATTACAAACTACCAGGTATGTAGTTCATATACAAATGGAAGAATCTTAAAACAACATCCACATCATGGTAAAAGCAATGATGTTTTATTATGCATGTTTGCTCAAAAATCAAATACGAAGTGCCAATTAAATGTCCATTACAATTTTCTATACATACCAGACATGAAGTTGTAGATGACAGGGTTAATCGCACTGTTGACGTAACAGAGGATGTGGGAGATGAGGGCAATGTTGATGATGATAGTCTCATCTACACCGCGGAACGAATCTGTAAACCTACAACATACCATTTTTAACAACTGTAGACATTTGATGGGGTGAACTCGAGGTTGTATGGACCTTAATATGTCGTATAAAACTGCTCGAAAAATCGAGTACTCTGGAGAAAAGTGCACGAACCTTTAAATGGACATAGGAATAAAGAAACATTTACCGGACGGTACATATTGACTATATGTCTTATTCTATTGTCTAGTAGAGGAATGGTCATGACTTTTTCTAGAAAAAAAATTATGTTTCGTGGCCTGCCCTCACGACATAAACGACTTTGTCTTAGTGATTTACTTCAAAGCGAGATATCAATAAAGTCCCCGTACAGAACATTACTCTCCATATAAATACATCATTACCCATCACACATAACCAGACCATAAAGAGAGAAGGTTAATTAAACAATATATCCTTTCAGATTTTATAAAGGTTCAGATATCTTTCCCCGACTGTATATGGTACTAATAATCCCTAACAGTAAACTTTATTTAACAATGAGCAGCATAATCTCTCTCGTTATCACATATTTTTTTTCAGTCGGTTCTGAAACCGCAATCCACGGTTACACGTTACCTGATCAGGTTAAGGATGTGGACAGGTAGATAACACACGGCGAATATCACCACTATCGTCATTAACATCTTGGCAGCTCGACGACGTGAATGGAGCTGGCTCTCTGGACCGGAAATGGTGGAACCGGAACGGGAACACACGTGATCTGTACAAAAATAAGGAAAAGACGTGTAATACCTTTAACTTTGGCTCCAAACAGACATTTCTAACAAAGTTGCTCTGTACAAAGTGTATTCTCGGCTAAGGGAAATTTCATAAAGTGTCCATCTAATCCATAGTGATGGAACTGTTAGATTTAGTAAATGGCTGAATGAATTGCTGAGAGAATGGATTAATGCAAGAAAATAGTAAAGATTGAGGAAACATGAAATCAATGTAAATACATAGCCCCGAATCTGACAGTCCTTCAAAACAAATGTCGGAATTTGAAGATTGTACAGTTTCCATGATTTAAATAGCTGAACGCACATGAGAATACCACAAATCGAACTCATAATTGATAAAACTAGCGGGAAATTTGGACAAATGAAAAATGAGCATAAAGACCCTAAAAAAGTACTAGGAATATTAAATCAGGTGGTTTGAAAGGGTAAACGACTTATGTAACGGAAATGATGTTCGGAGCTAAGTTTGGAATACCGAATCAACAGTGCAATGTAGACGACATATGTTGGGACGAAGGGATGTTACTATCAAGAAACAGAGAGTTACCGATCGGAAAATCGAAGTTGTCCTTCTTATCGTAGAGCTTAGTACATTTTAGTAAGCCGACCCTGTTGGTCCCGACTACTGTACGGCTTAGAAGTAAGCCGACCCTGTTGGTCCTATTGTAAGTTCAGATCGAAGTAAACGGCTGAAGTAGAGGTGACTGTAGAAAGATCATGCTTTACAGTTTTAGTTCTAAATGTTATGTCAGGCTTAAAATTGGCATCGAACACGATTTAATTCAAACTAATACTCGAAATCACAGAGTCAAAACGTCCAATAAAAATATTCCTAACAGTATTATGTGTCCTTCTTCTAAAATACGTTCCGGTTTTAATTAAACCTGTGTAAAAATACATCGGAAGCGACTACACTAAGAATTATTTACAAGACGTTTGAGTCGACATTTAAATTACTAAGTCTATCAGAAACGTTCTTTTTAAGATGATTTTAGATGCGAACAGTAGTTTATGTATAAGGTGAATTGTTGGGCGATATATAAACAAGGTTTACGTAACATGTGTGTCTACTGAGTCGGCCAAGTGGCCGCCACTCCTCTCTGTTGACAGTAATGTCTCGGGGCAGTGATATACTGTATAGTGTATACAGATATAAATCCGAAAAAGAGAAAGTTTTTTCTGAGCCCTTGACATAGTTTTCGCGATTAAAACATTAGGAGTACCTCTGTCTGGGGATCTTGGCGTCCAGTCAATAAAAAACGTAACCGCCCTTAAATTCTTGACCTCTCGAGCGAATGTCATGTTTAACAATGATGACGGTGTTTACAAACATCAGGAGCACGATGCTTCCTTTCTGGGGGGAAATGTCCATACACAACCTGAAGGTATTGCTGCGCCTTTCCATATACGTTCAGTGTACAACTTAGAGTAAATAAAACCACAGGAAGCATCAAAGAAAACAACAGACAATGTCCAATGAAAGCACGACTGCGCAATAAAACATGTTATTACTCTTTATGAACTTTAGTTTATCCTTTTATAATACGCTATACGTTTTAGTCATGTAGAAAGTGAGCATCGAAAATACGTATTTTTCTTGAAGTTAAGGGAAAGGTACTATAAACGATTGGTAGGGTAATAATATTTCATCAAAGGAAACACATTATTGATATCTAAACACGAAATTGAAGAACTTTGTTTCTTGTTCTTACATATGTTTTCGATTAATTTAGCCTCATAATTTTGAAAACGAAAGCCAGGTCTGCCAAGTGAGGAGTGTTGTTTGTTCACAGGGTATGAGGACAGTCTGCTGTAATCTAAACACAGCTATCGTCAACATGGAATCCAAGTATATGTACGAAATCCTCCTCAGTATATTAAACAGAAATAGTCTTTCCATCTCAGAGCTATTTTGAATTTTACCCAATCTTATACTTGTAACAACTTGTGCCATTTTTTTTAAAAGAATGTTCTTTTCCAAGCAATCGAAAATGAGTTCCGTCATTTTGGTCTGAGGTTTGGAAGTGTGCCGCTTGGAAAAAGAAAATAGATTTTTTTAGGCAAAACATGTTCAAGTTTGATCAAAAGATCTTTTAATGTTTTTAGAATCTTTTTTAAAATTAATTACATCCGCTTTTGGCGAATTCAGTGTCACAATACGGCTGTAAACCTGATTTACTGAAACTATTATAGAGGTTTGGATAATGGCTTGATTGAACAACTAGCGAAGCCGCCAGCGATAAAACGTTGTTCATACAGATTCCTGTGCAGTCTTAGAGACGGATACATACGAGACAGGTCTGTATCTTTATCATTAAACAGTATTCGGAAAGACTAAAATACAGGATTAACTGGTATTTCGTTTTTCAAAAAAAAATAGATAATGAATCAGAAGGCTTTCCTTGGTTATGACTTTGATGAATTTAATTTACTGAAAAGAAACCGATACAGTGCCATTTTAAATGATATGACTGTGGAATAAAGCAGCAATATAAATAAAACATACAATACATAGTGCAATAAGTGATACCATTTATTTATCTTATAACGTTCTGTCTATATTTTCCTTTGTTTCCTTTGGGCTACACTGTATTTCACTGCCGAGTTAATCATGTTGTAACTGAAGACATGTGTGGAGGAAAGTGACATTTCGCCGAGTGGAACATAACACGTTTTAAAACTGTTTGCGAAATTTTGCGTTCATCATCCTCTTCCAGTACTTTTGCCAAGAGACTAATGGTGCTCAAAAACATTTAAACCGACCGAAGATCATGAACAGTATATATTTGGTAAATGTAAATATCTGATAAATCAATGCACTTAATTACTAAAAATGCAATCGAGAATCCAGCACTATATACGTATAATATTATATTATACAATGTCCACTTCGATACCGTAGGTATAACTGTCAAATGAAGCAGGCAAAATATGGATTGCATACACTTGTCAGATATTAAAGTAATATAAAGACGTTTAGAGGTACTCATAACTTACTGAAAAATATCTTAGTTGACTTTGCCGCAAAATATGTTAAATAATTATATGATTCGTTTTGAAACGACGTTAAGATTCCAAGATTATCAAATGACAGTGCATTCAAGAATAGCAACGTATCAACAAAGCGGTAATTCAAACTCGAAATCTAAACTAAGGAAAATTATGAAAAAAGTAAACATTTACATGGAGACCCTTGACAAGGACATAGAGAAAAAGACCAGGAAATCAGGAAGGGTAAGCGCTTTCTGCTTCATCGATAACACTCGTCATGTAAATAAAGATCAAAGTAATGTCACGTCCTCGTGACAAAGACCGACGTGGTGACAAAACAGCAAAACACTCTTATAGGCATACTCAAAAACAGCAACCTTCATATTTGTTTTTGGATCATTTATACACTTTTCCGTGATCATTAATTTTACTCGACAATAATTTCATTTCTCTCGAGAACAGAGATTTTTTCCGAGATTTTTTCATTATTTGATAACGTGATAATATTCTGTGCGTTAAGTAAGGTGACAAACGTACTGGTCATTGAGATGCATTGTACATCGTTGTGGTCAGTGGCGGCGACGGGAGATTAAGCTAGGTCCAGTAGGACACAGAAGCTGTACAACAGTATGTGGTAAGCTAACGGCATGGAAACCACAGAGATAACAAGAGATCAGACAAGACGTCAATACCAAATAGACAGTACGTATTCTACATAAACTTCTTATTTTATATAAACCACAGCAGTAAACGAAAGCACTGGAATAAAGGGAGCATCTATTCCAAGATTAATTAAGACGATGTACAATACCAAACAATGAAACTGTGTATGACAACGTTTTGTCATTTTGTCAATTTAGGACTCGTCAGCGTAACTAACAGCCCAGAGAAATGAAAACCCATGTTACAAATGTCCCAAAACATGTGGAACTACAACCAATGGGGTAAGGTGCCAATAACCCCTTTATTATGTGTTTATCTGTTTGTGCTGCAACAGATAATTGATTGTTAAATAAGTAACTTAGGTACATCATGCCATAATATACTAAAGCAACAAAATAACGGCCAACAGCAGAGTCAATCCCTTTGTGATATAAGCCAACAACAGAGTCAATCCCTTTGTGATGTTTAATTGTTTAATATAGGCCAATAGCAGAGGCAACCCCCTTGTGTTATAGGCCAACAACAGAGTCAATCCCTTTGTGATGTTTAATATAGGCCAACAGCAAAGTCAACCCCTTTGTGATATAAGCCAACAACAGAGTCAATCCCTTTGTGATATAGGTGAACAGCAGAGTCAATCCCTTTGTGGTACAGGCCACCAGCAGAGTCAATCCCTCTGTGATGTTTAATATAGGCCAATAGCAGAGGCAACCCCCTTGTGTTATAGGCCAACAGCAGAGTCAATCCCTTTGTGATATAGGTGAACAAGAGAGTCAATCCCTTTGTGATATAGGTTAACAAGAGAGTCAATCCCTTTGTGATATAGGCTAACAGCAGAGTCGATCCCTTTGAGATGTATAGCAAAGGCCAACAGCAGAGTCAATCCCTTTGTGATATAGGTGAACAGGAGAGACAATCCCTTTGTGATGTTTAATATAGGCCAATAGCAAAGTCTATCCCTTTGTGATACAGGCCAACAGCAGAGTCAATTCCTCTGTGATATAGGCCAACAACAGCGTCAATCCCTTTGTGATGTTTAATATAGGCCAATAGCAAAGTCTATACCTTTGTGATACAGGCCAACAGCAGAGTCAATCCCTTTGTGATATAAGCCAACAACAGAGTCAATCCCTTTGTGGTACGTATTCTACATAAACTTCTTATTTTATATAAACCACAGCAGTAAACGAAAGCACTTGAAATGAGGGAGCATCTATTCCAAGATTAATTAAGACGATGTACAATACCAAACAATGAAACTGTGTCTGGCAACGTTTGGTCATTTTGTCAATTTAGGACTCGTCAGCGTAACTAACAGCCCAGAGAA